GTTGTTACAGACCAAAGTCATGCAAGCACTTCATTCAAAAAGCAGGATGTGGGCTGCAAGCTTCCGGCTCAGGGTTCAAAGGAAAGTGACTTCAGCAACAGTGTCTCCTGGGATGTTTCCCCAAACTCCCTGGGAGGGGATGGAGCCTGTTAAAGGACTAATAATAGACAGGCACATCCAGTTTTCCAAACACGTCACCGTAAAAAGTGAAGCTATTTTCCCCTCACTACCTTTGAGTTACGTGGGAAGGGACATTCTCCAATGACAGGCTGTGCCCTCCACATGCCACCTAGTAATGACTCAGCAGCTTCCAGGCAAAATTGTCACCATGGGACCTGAGCTTCCTTAGGCAGAAAGAAGTTCAGTGTCACTGGTTCAGCTTCACCCTGCCTTCTTCCATCATTAGTCACCAGAATGACTTGTAGATGTGCCATCCTACACACCATCAACAACAGCGTGACTTAGAGTGTGCATCTTGATCACTCTGAGCCTCCCTGTCCTTGTCCATAACGAGTTAGAAGACTATGAAGGCTGTTGGGAGGACTCCAAAAGACAGTGCAAGTACCTGGCACCTATCTAGCCCCTGATGTTTATCATTACTAAATACTTCCTGGATATGAGCAAGGGTAAGGGGTACTCTTCTTCAATTTTTCATAGGCCATTTGTTTATACAGTGACTCACTCAGTCAATCAATATATACTGAGCTTTTAGGAGATGTCAGGCACTGAACTTGGTGCTGGGTGACACAATGGTGAGCAGCGCCTACTCTCAGAGCCCTGACCTAGTTCATAATCTCATGTGGTGTTACCTTCCCAGACTGTGGGGCACAGAGGGGATCTTTATTTTAATTAATTAGTTAGTCATTTAGTTAATTAATTTTACTGATTTCAGAGAGAAAGGGAGAGGGAGAGAGAGAGAGAGACAGAAACATCAATGATGAAAGAGAATCATTGATTGGCTGCCTCCTGCATGACCCACACTGGGGATCAAGCCCATAACCCAGCCATGTGCCCCAATCAGGAATCCAACCATGACCTCCTGGTTCATAAGTCAAAGCTTAACCATTGAGCCACAATGGCCAGGCAGTGTGGGATCTTTAGATGCAGTACAGGGACAGGGCACTAAGCACACTGTATCACTCATCTAGACACTTATTATTGTTTTGGTTACCTCCCATCCTCCCATCCAGGAGAGTCCCAGCTGGATGCTGGTGTGTCTTTAACATCCCTTTAACTTTACTTGTCCATCTCCTTTCTCAACAAATAAAAGAAGGCCTATCATTGATAGGCTGCCTCCTGCACACCCCTACTGGGAATTGAGTCCACAACCTGGGCATGTACACTGACCAGGAATCGAACCCTAACCTCCTGGTTCATGGGTTGTTGCTCAACCACTGAGCCACATTGGCTGGGCCTTTCATTATATTTATTCAACATAGTATTGAAAGGTCCTTGCCATAGCAATCAGACAAGAAGAAGAAATAAAAGGCATCTAAAATGGAACAGAAGAAATAAAATAGTCCTTATTTGCAGATGACATGATACTGTATAAACTTAAAGATTTTACAAAAAGCCTAGGAAAACTGATAAATGGATTTAGAAAAGTGGCAGATTACAAAATTAATAGCCAGAAATCAGTTGCATTTTATACACCAATAATGAACTATCAGAACTAGAAGCTAAGAAAACAATCCAATTTACATTTGCCTTAAAAAATACTTAGAGCCCTGTTAGAGTATTGGTCCACACACCAAAAGGTCTTGGGGTCAAGGGCATATACTTGGGTTGCAGGTTTGATCCCCAGCCAGTTAGGGTGTGTGTGGGAGGCAATCAGTTGATATAATATTGATGTGAGAGAGAGACACATTCATATCCCATTCTCTCTCTCTTTCCCACTCTCCCTAAAAATCAATGGGAAAAAATATTCTCAGGTGAGGATTAACAAAAAAATAAAAACAAAAACAATACCTAGGAATAAATTCAACCAAGGATGTAAAAGACCTAACTTGGAAAATTATAAGACACTGAAGAAAGAAACTGAAGAAGGAAACTGAAGAAGATACAAATAAATGGAAACATATACCATGTTCATGGATAGGAAGAATTAACATCATTAAAATATACTAAGTACCCAAAGCAACCAATAGATTCAATGCAATTCCTATTAGGATATCAAAAGTGTATTTCATAGAACTAGAACAAATATTCCAAACACTTACTTGGAACCACAAAGGACTCCAAATAGCCACAGCAATTTTTAGAATCAAGAACAAAGTTGAAGTAATCGCACTACCGGAACTCATACTATACTATAAGGCCATAGTATCCAAACAGCATGATACTGGCATAAAAACATACATATTATAGATCAATGGAACAGAATAGGTGCAGGGGCCTGATGTGGTGAGGGCCAGATATGGCAGGGATCTTCCTTTTCCTCATCCCACACAGAAAGAGAGATGAATGAACCAATTCTAAGTGGAGGCGGCCAGGGATTGAGAAATAATAGAAACGAAGAGAAAAGACACAGAGATAGATTTAAAGCTGGGAGCTGGGTGGGTCACCATCTTGTCTGCTGGAGAGGCAGGAAGATGAGTGACTCCTTCCAACACATTTATTTTATGCCCCCAATACCAGGAAGTAACACCAACTTATTTGCATTCTTAAGTAGGCCTTAGCATGCCTGGATTTACATATCTAGTCCCACCCCTGCCGACTGGATTTACATATCTAGTCCCACCCCTGCCAACACCTGGGCTGATATGAAGGCCAAGCTGACAACATGTCTCCCATCTTGGGGAAACATGTTCCCAAGGCGTGGCTCTGCCTACACCCTGAGTTCAGCTGATAATAATTCAAGAAAATTGCCCATGTGCCTTCTCCGGTGGCCTTCTACAAATAGGGAGCCCAGAAATAAACCCACACTTTATAGTGAATTAATACTTGACAAAGGAGATAAAAACATACAATGAGATAAAAATAGCTTATTCAGTAAATGGTGTTGGGAAAATTGGACAGATACGTGCAAAAGAATGAAACTAGACCATCTTCTTACACCACACAGAAAAATAAACTAAAAATGGATCTAAGATTTAAATGGTAGACTCAAAACCATAAAAATTCTAGAAGAAAGCACAGGCAGTAAAATCTTGGACATTTCTCATGGTAATATTTTTTCCTCCTGAAATATCTCCTTGAGCAAGGCAAACAAACAAAAAAATAAACAAATGGAATTACACCAAACTAAAAAGTCTTTGCACAGCAAAGGAAACCATCAACACAATGAAAGACAACCCTCTAAATGGGAGAACATATTTGCCAATACATAGGGCTTAATATCCAAAATTTATAAGGAACTTATACAACTCAACACAAAAAACCCCCCAAACAATTCAATTAAATACCGGCAGAAGACTGGAATAGATATTTTTCCAAAGAGGGCATATAGATGGTCAATGGACATATGAAAAGATGCTGAATGTCACTGATCATCAGAAAAATGCAAATTAAAACCAAGATGAGATATCACTTGTCAGAATGGCTATCATCAATAAGTGAACAAAAAAATATTGCCCAGGATGTGAGGTAAGGAAACCCTCATGCGCTGCTGGTGGGAATGGAGACTGGTGCAGCCACTGTGGAAAGCAGCATGGAGTTACCTCAAGGAAGTTAAAAATGGAGCCGCTTTATGACCCAGCAATTCCACTTCTGGGAATATATCCAAATAAACCTGAAACACCAATTCAAAAGAATATGCACCCCTGTGTTCATTGCAGTGTTATTACAATAGCCAAGATCTGGAAGCAGCCCAAGTGCCCATCAGCAGATGAGTGGCTAAAAAGCGGCGGTGCATTTACACAATGGAATACAACTTGGCCAGAAAAAAGAAGGAACTCTTACCTTTTGTGACAGTGTGGATGGACTATTATGCTAAGTGAAATAAGCCAGTCAGGGAAAGACAAGTACCATAAGATCTCACTTATATGTGGAATTTAATAAACAAAATAAACTACCAAATAACGTGGACACAGACTCATGGATACAGAGGACAGACTGGCAGCTGTCAGACGGGAGGAGTCTGGGGACTGGGTGAGAAAGCTGAAGAGATTAAGAAAAAAAAAAGACTCATGGACACAGATAACAGTATGGTGATTGACAGGACAGGGAGGGTGGGAAGGATGAGGAAGGTAAAGGGGGGATAAATGGTGATGGAAGGAGACTTGTCTTGGGTTGGTGAGCACACGATACCATATATGAGAATGTGTTGTAGAATTGTACACCTGAAATCTGTATAATTTTATTAATAAATTAATAAAATTTCAATAAAAAAAATCTCCCTCCCCCGTTAGTCCATTTTACAATAGAGGAAGTTGGGTCTCTCTGTGGAGCGGATGGACAGAAGGTAGGAAGTTCTCTTAATTTGCTGGGTAAGTAAAGCCAAGAATTCTCTTTGTGGTGGAGTTAGAAATATATAACCTAACGCTGTCTCCTCCCCTACCTCTGCAGCATGTGTGTCTAAGGGTGTGGAGCCACAGGCCTTCCTGAATGTGGCCGCGGGAACCCATCCCTCCAGGAGACACTTGCAGAATGACCAGCGGGATGGATGGGGGTGGGTGGGTGGGTGAGGACCAGTCTCTGTAGAGGTCTGGGCGGAATCCATGGAGCCCACCCTCCCACCCCCAATGCCAGCCCCCGTTGGCCCTTCCGCTCTCTCTGCTCCCGCGTAGCGCCCTCAGTGACATCTCCTTCACGCCACCCAGGGCCGAGGGCGAGTTCGGGGCGAGGCTGGGTCGCAGTCCCCGCGCTGCAGACTGCGGCTCCTCCAGCTTCCCCGGAGGCCGCCGCCGCGGGTGCGATATGTAAAGCAGCGGGAGGGCGGGGCCTGAGCGCGATGCAAACGAGGGGGCGTGGCGGCCCGGGCCCCGCCCCGCCCCGCCGCCTGCAGCTGGGACCGCGGAGCCGGCGCAGCTGGCCGCGCGCAGCTGGCAGTGACAGCGCACCGAGCGGCCGCCGAGCGCGCAGGAAGCGCCCGGCCCGCACCCGGCCGCCTCCCCGCGCCCGGCCGCAGCCCGCGCCCCGCGCCCCGCGCCCCTCGCGGGCTCCCGCGCCCCGCGCGCAAGATGGCTGACCCTGCTGCGGGGCCGCCGCCGGCCGAGGGCGAGGAGAGCACCGTGCGCTTCGCCCGCAAAGGCGCCCTCCGGCAGAAGAACGTGCACGAGGTGAAGAACCACAAATTCACCGCCCGCTTCTTCAAGCAGCCCACCTTCTGCAGCCACTGCACCGACTTCATCTGGTGAGCGCGGCACCTCCGCCCCAGGGCAGCGGGCTCTCCGTGCCCCGGGGGACCCGCCGCCCGCGGCCCCGCGGCCCGGCGCCCCTCTCCCCCCATCCGGCCCGGACCCCGGCCGGCGTCTGCCGGGCCCCGGGGGCCAGCACCCGGCGCCTCCGGAGCGCCCGGGCCGCGCCGAGCGGGGGTCTGTCCCCCCTGGAGTGCCCTCGCGCCCTGGGCCCCACCTCGTCACCTCCTTCCGGGCTCCGGGGGCCCGCACCCTACCCCTCCTTTCCGGGGGCAGCGCCCTGTGTCCTCTCCTTTCCCTTCGGCTCGGGCATCCTTTCCTCCCGGCGCCTCCGGGGACTGCACCCGGGGCTCTCTCCTCGCGCCTCTCCGAGGGCCTGGGTTCCCCTTTCCACTCCCGCCCTCCCCCCCCACCCCCACCCCTACCGAGCCGCGGCCCCTGATCCCCTGCCCTTCTAGGCCCGAGGAGCCCCTCTCCCTTCCCAGCCCCCGGGGCACCGCTCCCCGGGGCTCTCAGCCTGGTCCCACTGCGTCCTCATCTCTTCTTTCCCCGGGGAACTTGGGCATCTCTGCGGGCACCCCCCCCCCCCCCAGATCCCCCCTCCCGGAAACGCCACCCGGTGGGTGGTCGCAGCAGCCTGTCTTCTGCCTCCTGAGGAGAGGTGGGGACACCTCGGAGCTCCCCGCTCCCCCGCCCTCTCTTCCTCAAAGGCGGAAGACTCTCGGGCACTGGCCTGTGGCTGGGAGTTTGCACCTGGGGTAGGGGCGGGGAGGGGGGGGGGGAAGGGGTGACTGAGGGGAACTAGCTGCCGGTGGCTGGGCCCTCCAGCTGCCTGACTGCCTCCTTCTGCCTTTGCAGGGGCTTCGGGAAGCAAGGATTCCAGTGCCAAGGTAGGCTGTGTGCTCTGGGATGCCTTTTTTTTTTTTTTGGGAGATATGGTGAAAGGACACTCGAGAAGTGACTGAATTAGGCAGAGAGTGGAGGAATCACTGTCTCAGGGCCCTGGCATTCATCACCACGGGGTCCTTTTAAGAGGCGCATGCATATGGGGCGGTGATGCGCCTTCAGGAGGGGGCGCGGAGATGGAGGCCTCACCTGGCCCGGAGTGCACCCCTTTCTCCCTCCCCAGCAGCAGTCCAAATGTCTATTGACTCCCCTGCTGGTCAGCCCCGCTGCTGGAGGACCCTCCCCTCAGCCCTGCCATCCATGCTGCCTCTGCTCCCAGAGTGAGGTTAGGTGATGGTGGCGTGGTCTCCTGGGCCTCGGAAGGAGGTGGTCCCCGGGGGGTGCCTCTTAGATCTTGGTTTCAGTCGCCCCTTCCCTAGGCATTCTGTTGAGATTGGGAGGGCCACGTGCCTGGGTCCTCGCATCTGGTGTGACATCCTTGACTCAAGCCAGGGAGGCCCAGCTCGTCAGGTCTGTTAATCGTGGGCAGGTGGCCTCAGTGGTCGCAGGTCGCAGATTCGCTCCCTGGGCCGCATCACCTACACGTGTCCAGACCTTAGGCTGTCAACCATGCTTTGAATTTGATGCCAGCATTTTAGAGCTGGGCGAGTGCACATACATCTCTGAGTTCCCACCTTCCGGTGTGCGGAGACTTGGCCCCGCCCTCTGGTCAGAACATGCGTTTGGAGGAGAGGGGCTCTCTGCACAGCACCGTTGTCTGCGCCATCCCCTCCTGGCGTGCTTCACCCCTTCCGGCCTCCGCAAGCATTTGCGTGGTACTTCCAGCTTGGCTAGGTTGGCTGAATTTGGTGAGAAGAACGCATTGAGGCGCTCAAGAGCAGGGCATGGACGTGGCCCCGATTGACAGAGTGTCGGATGGCCTCCACCTCCCGGGAGCAGGAAGTGGCCCCTGTGAGTGCTGGTGGCATTGTCAGCTGCACAGAATGCTGGCAGCACGGCACTGCTGTCCTCTGTTCCCCTGTGATCCGGGCAGGGCTGGCTCAGCCCTTGACCCTTATAGACCCCCCACCCCGCCCCGCCCCGCCCCCGCCAGGCTCTCTTACAAGACCGTGACCCCCCTGGAGGGCCTCACAAGGCCCAACAACAGGCACTGCTGCCAACAGCGGGGCTGTGTTCTAGAACTTTGGCCCCTCAAGCAAAACACCTACGGCGGTGCCGGAACCATAGATCTTCACTCCCACGAGTCAGCCTCTGTCTTTGTCTCCTGCGGAGGGCCCGCGAGAGTGGAGCGTTCGCCGCTGCGATCCTGCCCCGCCTGCCCTGCGTCACTGGTGGCTGCGAAGGGCGGGATGTGCAGGTGATGACACACCTGCCGCCGGAGAGGATGGCAGGAACCTTCTCGTGTGGCGAGAGTGGAGCGGGATTAAAGGTTCTAATGAAAGAGGGCTGCTTCCCAGCAGGAGTGCCTTCTGTTCCGTGGCCTTCCGTTTTCTCTTCTCCTTGAGAGGCTTTGCAGGGTAGTGGGCATATGCACCGTGTATCAGGCAGGTCGCTGTGAGCTTGAATCCCTGCCACGTTATGTAGCTTCTCTGGACCTCCAGTTCTTCATCTAAAAATGGGTCCAATAACAGGATTGACCCCAAAATGTTCCCGAGTGGCTCAAAGCGGCTGCGGGCAGCTCCTGAAACAGATGCTCGGTCCGGGGACCTCCGTAAGGGTGGAAGCCCTCCTCCACTCTGCTGCGTTACCGGGACTAATTTGGGCACCATAGAGCAGTTCCCTATGTGGGTAGTTTTGGTGCCACCTATTTCCTCTTAAAGTGAATCGAATCTATAGAAAGTAACGTGACCACTCTCACCTTGAAGTCAGGCGTCCAGAGCCCAGGGCCCGATGTTCCTTTCAGTTTCCGCTCCACCGTCCCAGGAGCGACAGAGAGCTCGTGGTCCAAGAAGGATGCTAGACTGTGCAGTCAGCTCGTCCTTTCTTATCCGCAGGAAGGAAAGGGTAAAGAACGGCGCTGTTACTGTGGAAGTTGCCACAGATACTTCTGCCTCTGCTTTTAGTTAGATCTTAGTGGCACACCCGCGCCGCGCTGCGAAGGAGGTGTGTTACTTCCAAGGACAGTGTTCCCTGCCACAAGTAAAGGTGTGTGCCTGAGCGAGGCGTTCCATTTCACAGCAGAAGGGAGAGAGGACACAGCTCTACCATTCTTGCCTAGGAGGTTTGGAGGTGATCACACGGCTAGGAAGCCACTGAGCCTCCGTGGCCCGCTGTGCCGAGATGGAAACGGGATGCTGGGATGGTGTGAGGAGCGTCAGATGAGGTTCTCTTGTTTTGTGCTGCCGGGGGACAGAACTCTAGACTGGCTGCCTCCTAACCTCTCCCTTTGTGTCCCCTCTCTGTTTCCAGTTGAAGAGGTAGGGTTAGGATGTCTCTGGTGGCAGAGGACTGGGGCTCAGAATCCTTATTATGAAACTGCTTCCTTTCTGGCTTAGCAGCGGGACCCCTCAGGCAAGCAGCACAGAGCTCTCTGTGGCTTCTTTAGGGGCCCCTGGAAGCTGCCTCTGCTTTAATGGTAATGAAGACGAGCCTTTGGGTGGAATTAGGCTCTTCCCCCAAGAAGGTTTTGCACTTTAGTGGAGAGTTTATTTTTTTAAGGAAGTCACTTCAGTAGGAATAGGAAGGCAGTAAAATGCAGAGATTCAGAATTTGTAGCATGGGGTTGGAGTGAGACAGCTGGGCTGGCGCTCTGCTGTGCCACCACCTCGCTGGGTGACCCTGGGGAAGCCATCCACGTGTAGGGCCTCCCTTCTCACGGGTGACAGGAGGCCAGGGATGCCCACCTACCGGTGCTGGTGAGGAGTGCTGAGGGGTGCGAGAGCCATGTTCACACGGAGGCCTGGGACTGAGTGAGATGCTCATTATTACTCCCTTAGCTGCGAAAACCGAGGGACACGGTTATCCTGGAACTCGCCAGATGACTATGCCTCCTCCGTGTATGTAGAGGGGCTTTCTTCTCTGTCTGTGTCTCCACAGGCTCTCCACAGGGTGACACAGGGAGTGCACAGCTCAGGCCCACACAGCCAGGCTTGTAAAGAGCATCTTTTCTCACCCCTGCCCTTGTGAGAAAGATCTAAACTTGCCGTGGACTCCATAGAAAAACCCCGTGCACTAATTTTATGACTGTGAAGACTCTGGTGATTATAATGAGTAAGCCAGTTCTTCCCTTTCCTGTGTGGACAAGAAAACATGTTTTTAAGCATTCTAGTGGAAATTATTCTTCAAAAACCCCAATGTATTGCACGAACCCAACCATTGCTATTTCATCAGCAGCTCTATAGAACACAAGTTCATTTTTGTCTGTAGTTAACACATACCGATTAGAGTGTGCATTTTTAGAAAAACACCCATCAAAGATGAATCAAAAGATTCATTTTTACTTTTGGCATCATTTTTTCCCTACGGACTTGTAATATGATATTCTGCATGTCAGGTTGAATTTTCTCAGCACAGTCATAAAGAGAGTGTGGTGGGGTGTGTGCATGTGTGCGCACGCGTGCGTGTGCGTGTGTGCAACCACCGCATCGGGTTTCAAGCGGCTGGAGCTTGCTTCAGTCATGCCACCTCTCCCTCCCGGGGCAGAGCCCAGGCTTGCGTGTGGCGCTCTGCTCACCTCTGGGCTCACTCCCCGGGTCCTGGGGGATCTGTGTGGGTGAAAGACTGTCTGATGGTTTGACTTTCTGATTTTTCCCACCTGGAGTGGGATTTCAGGCCCAAAGCCTGAAGTGAAATAAAAATCTGTGGTTGGTTGCTGTTGGGGCTTACAAAGGCGGCCGGCTTGTGAGAAGGCAGCAGTTAATTCATTCTGAGCTGAGAGCACGCAGGGAAGCCTGCAGCTTTGTCACTGGGCAACAGCTGTCCTTCCTCAGTAAATATGGAAAATATGACCTTTGAAAATCTAGTTGCTGTAACATGTTTCTTCGAAAGTTAATTAAAAAACATGTTTCTGAGGACAGATGATACTCTAGGTGCTGCCCAGAGCCATCTACAGCGTTGATGATGTATATGGGTCAACAGAGGTAAAGATACAGAGAAGGTAGCTGGCCAAAAGACAAACTGGAGGCTTGAAAATAACTTTGTATTGCACATTCTTGCTGTTGGGGTCTCTTTCTCTCCTTTGTGCCTGTCCTGTATCCATCTCTGTCACTCCCCCATTCCTGCCACATGTGCGCACGTGCTGGGCACACACATAAATAGATCAATGGTGTCACAGTTTTGACAATATTCACCTTCTTTGGATGCTTTTTAGTTACAGGTTGTTAAATTGCTAAATATAATTTAAGATCCATTCTCTGTGTTTTTTTTCCTGCAGTCCAGTGAATTTTGGGGTCAGTAGGAAGATCAGCTGAAAAGCTCATCATGGCTGGCTGATGCATTCTAAAGCTTTGTCCCTTACCATTTTGCCATTTGATGGCAAAATATCATGGATTATTTGACTTCACTCATCCAATCTATCCACTGAGATTGTGTGATATTCCATAGACTGTAAATTTCAGTGTTTACATATGGCATTCAGAGGTGTGATGGCTACTTGAAAATCTGATGGAAATTTATATATTTACCACATGTAGCTATTTTTTCCTCCCTCCCTCCCTCCTTCCCTTCCCCAAAGCATTCATTCATTAGGTTCTATGTGTCAAGTACTATTTTAATGGTGGCAATACAATGGTGAGTGAGGTCCTTATTGCCATGGAGCTCACAGTGTATTGGGGAGATAAGATCCTGCACTGATACCCATTTCCCATTTGTTAAGGACTCTGAAAGACATGTACTGGACACTATGGGGTGCCAGCCTCTGTAATGGTTGGGGTGGAGTCAGGGAGTTCTTTGGTCTGAGAATTAAAAACAAAACCACACCTCCCGGTCTCTGAGGTGTCTGGACCAAGGCTGAGCTGTGAAGGAGCCAGAGCTGAAGGGCCCCTAT